TCCTGTTTGATTAACCTCCCATTCTCATTCCCTATTTCCTCACATCCTTAAATCAAAGGGGAGGGGAACTATTTTAAGTACCTTTGAAGAAAAGAGCATATATAATGCTAATAAATATACCTGACAAGTATATATATTTTTAAATCAAATTCTTTCTATCTTCTTCTTCTTCTTTTTTTCTAGAGACAAGGTCTTACTCTGTTGCCCAGGTTGGAGAGCAGTGGCATAATCTTGGCTCACTGCAGCCACAAAACCCTGGGCTCAGGTGATCCTCCCGCCTCATCCTCCCGAGTAGCTGGGAGTACAGGAATGAGCCACCATGCCCAGATAATTTTTAAATTTTTCTTTAGTAGAGCTGGGGTCTTGCTATGGTGACCAGGCTGGTCACAAACTCCTGGTCTTGCATTCTCAGTCATAAAAATCTCTTCTAATCTCCCTCTGGCATCCCATTTTGGTTGAAGTCAAACATTTAATCAGACAAGCATGACAAAAAACAAGGAATTATCCTTTAACTCCTCCAATACCGATGTTGCATAAAGAAGTGAAAAACCCAAATCAAAACAAAACATTAAGTTCCCAAATATCACTAAACGTTTGCTCTTTCAAAACAGAAATTATAATATTTTCTTGTTCTTGGTTTTACACTCTTTTGAAAACTTGTTTCTTTTCTCCAAATAAAATCTTGTGCAGTTTCCACTTGGCCTCACAGGAATGTAAAGCTTTATTTAGGTACGTGAACTGGTGGCAGAGAACAGAAGCTTCAGAAAAAAAAAAAAAAAAAAAAAATCAAAAGGTTAGAAGCAAACATAGTGTTTGCTTTTAGACACAATGCTATAACTTAAAGTGAATGGGTTCTCTCTTGTGTCATATTGCCTGGAAGGTTGCTATCTCCTGAAAACCAAAGTAGAATCTAGTGATGGCCAAGCCTTTGGTAAGTAGTTGTAAATGAACAAATTGATGATGTTTATTATAAGCCAGACTATATTCTAAGAGCATAATTCTGTATTTGAGTTGGTGCTACTTTTTATCTCTAGTTTACAGATGAGGAAACTAGAGAAAGAGAGATCTATCTATATATAACAGATATTAACTCTTAACTAATAGACCACATATCTAATAGCAATAGAAATGGAATTCAAACTTAGGCAATCTGGCTCTGGATCTGAAACGGTAACCAGTCTATTAAACTACACAAGCATGTGTTATTGACAGATAACTGACTACACAAACATGTGTTACTGATGGATAACTGACTTGCCAATGCAGTCAGCACCATCTGGCAGTTTAGAGTACTGTAATTTACTATACTTTAGCTTTACAGTAATCCATTGTCACTGCTTCTTGACTTAAGCACCACCCCTCAGCCTGCCATTTAAGGGCTTCTACCTTCAGTGCTGGCCAGCCTCTTTATTGTGCCCCCAGCTAGCCAACATATTTACTGTTATGTCCAGGTCCTGGTGCGAGCTTCCCAAATATCCAGGCCTGTTTATATCCTCGACAGTCTTCAAAGTTCACTGCAAATCCTTCCTCTTCCCAAAAGCCATCTCTGAGACTTCAAATCACCCCTCTTTCCCTTCTCCAAACTCCAAGTGGATTCATGGTCTAGAGCATTGGTTCCTTTCCTTTGTCAACACAAGGATGCCTTTTTAATATCAAAAACCACCCAGCTCAAACTCCCATGTGATACTAAATTTGTGATATCCAATGTGGTGGATCTAAGCTAGAGGTTCTTAACCCTGGTTGCTCATTAGAATCATGCAAGAGACTTTAAAAAATCCCAGTGTCCAGATTGCAGCGCATAAAAATGAACCAGAATCTCTGAGGGGTGGCCCAGGCATAGTTGTTCTTCAAGCTCCCAGGTGATTCTAAGGGGCTGGTGAGTCTGAGAGCCAGTGGGCCAGCACCTATTGTTTTGCATTCTACCCTTGGAGGCCTCCTCCAACAAGTCTGAAAGCTCCTAAAGGCAAGAATACACTTTGATATTTTAAGCTTTTAAAACTCAAAGTGTGGATCATGGACCAGTAGTATCAGCATCACTTGGGAGCTTGTTAGAAATTCGGGTTCATAGACTACCTCCCCAAGTCCCACTGATTCAGAAAGAGCATTCTAACAAGATCTGGTGATACCTACGCATAGTAAAGTTTGGGAAGCATGAGTGAGTGAGTTTAAAGCACAAAAAGATCACCTACTTTGGGAGGCTGAGGCGGGTGGATCACAAGGTCAGGAGTTCGAGACCAGTCTGGCCAACATAGTGAAACCCTGTCTCTACTAAAAATACAAAAAATAGCCAGGTGTGGTGGCATGCGCCTGTAATGCCAGCTACTTGGGAGGCTGAGGCAGGAGAATTGTTTGAACCCGGGAAGTGGGGATTGCAGTGAGCTGAGATTGTGCCACTGTACTCCAGCCTGGGTGACAGAGCAAGACTCGATCTCAAAAAAAAAAAAAAAAAAAAAGCAACTACAGCTGGAGAGGTAGCACTCTCAAGCCTCAAAAGATCACTAAAAGTAAACATTCACGTATGCATTTTTACTTCATGACATCATTCTCTGCCTTCTGGGCTGTTCCTTGTCCTGTACCTAGAGGAACACAAACAAAAACCAAACATTTTCTTCTCCTAAGTAAGTCTTCCCCCAGTGTTTTCTGTTCACTGGTAATGCTAGTCTCTGACATACACAGAGCTTCTATGGGCTCACTCTTCTTTTCTTGGAAGCCCTGACACTCACCTAAAATCTTGGTCTAGGGTCTGCTTACCTACACCTTACAATTCTACTTCTTACTCTTACGGATAGGGAACAGAAGGGGCTGGACAATTGTACAGCTTGGGATGGGCTTAATATGTGTGCTTCTTCCTTTTCCTAATAGAAGAGAAAGAAAGGTTCGCTTTTTTACCATGGCATTTATATTCAAAGAGCGTATTTGAAAACCATGTAAAAATAACTTCTATCAACTGTTCTTTAAAGTATAGTATTTATCTATCTAATAATGCCACACAAAAGCAGAAATTTGGCCAGGCAAAAATCAGTGGTTTTCTTCAAAAGTGTGTAGTTTATAGCTTTCCCATATACTACGAACCATAGGTTATAAGTGCAGTTTAATGAGGGGCTTATAAATAGAAATGCCACCATGTCTGTTTTCTGTACAAGGGAGGGAAATAAATGAGTTTATTAAAATTATGGTGGTGCGTGATCTGCTGAAAAGAAAAGCCATTTGTTAATATAAATTAAGACTTATACCTTGATGAGGGTTAGAAATCTACAAGAAATTTAGGTGTAAGCCTAATTCTCTGATCTGAAAAGCAAGATCATAAAATACTAGCTCATCTACACAATTTGAATATAATTTTATTCACTCATGGCTTTTGGGGCTTGAATTCAGGCCTTACTTTCAACAGAATTTGGTCCTATTTGAATCAGAATTTGGCCTGATAATGAATGGCCCAGACATAGATTTTTTAAAGTACATCTGAAAGGATAATCCAATTAAAAGGTCTTCCCTGCTAAGCTAGAAATGGAGTGAAGCTGAATTTAGTTGTGCTATCATTGTAATGACCTGGGAAACAAGGAGGTTGAACAACATGGAATTCCTTTTCACCAAATTTCTCTAAATAATGTAACTTTTTAAGTATCTGAAATAATCATAAGTGAAAATCAATTTATCAAGTTCAACACCAATATACAGGAATACATTAACATGTGTTACTGTTCATAAGACACCATCAATTAAGACATGCCATTATTTTATTTTATTTTATTTATTTATTTATTTATTTATTTATTTATTTATTTATTATGAGACGGAGTCTCACTCTGTCGCCCAGGCTGGAGTGCAGTGGTGCAATCTCGGCTCACTGCAACTTCCACCTCCCGAGTTCAAGCGATTCTCCCATCTCAGCCTCACGAGTAGCTGGGATTACAGGCGCCTGTCACCATGCCTGGCTAATTTTTGTAGTTTTAGTAGAGACGGGGTTTAGCCATGTTGGCCAGGTTGGTCTCGAACTCCTGACCCCAGGCGATCTGCCCGCCTCGGCCTCCCAAAGTGCTGGGATTACAGGTACAGGATTACGTTAGGAGCTTGTCGTTGGTTATAAGATTAGTCTCAATTTCAGAGATGATAGGGCATGGGAGAAACACGTCTTAGAATTGCTGAAATTTAGTAGATTAAAAGTATAACAAAAGTGATAATTTTATAAGAGCATAGCAACAACTTTTCCTGTCACAAATTTATGGTTTGGTGTCATAGTAGTAATACTACTCCTGGTTAATGATGCTATATTATGCCCTTAACTGGTATGCCAAATGCTCAGCGTCCCCACACCCTCTGCTTCTACAGCAAAGATTGGAAGTAACCATAAAATCTGACTAATGCAAAAACTCTGCACTCCTCCTTTGGGAGCAAAAATGGCAGCAAGCCATAGCCTGCAGCATGGCTTGCATTTTACTAATTGCAAACATAAGTGTATGTAGAAACCCATGTGCATCTTTATCAAAATAATACTAGGTATAAAAAATGGGAGAGCTAAGAGGGTGCACACCTCTAATTTCAAATGGGCATCTAGGCCTCAGCTAAGGTCTGTCTTGTGGTTTGATAATGGGTTAATCCCACTGGTAAAGCTGCACAAGCAAGATGCATCCAGGCGCAGCCTTAAGGGCCCCTACGCATGCTTATCAGCATTCTAGAAGTAGAATCATTGACATGCATTATAGTCCCTTGCCAGTAATTTAGTGCTTTTTCCCTGTAAACGAAGTCAAAAAGACCCTGAGAGGCTAGAGAAAGCTGAAAATGAAACAGAAAAATCTTGTAATGTGGTTTCTAATTTGGTAAGTGGATTGATGGGACTGAAGCATTTTCTGGTTAGATGGACTGATCAGAATCGTCAAAAACGTGCCAAAATTCCACTTCAGGTCACCCTGCATGTAGTTGTGTGAACGTTTCCAATTTCTCAGAAATGGAAATAGAAATCTCCAATGAGGCTTTAGAAGATGCAACACTGGAATACTCACGATGACTGGGAAGCCTTTCTTCTGAGTAAATAGTCCACGACATCAGGATCGGTCTCTAACAGGCTGATCAGCACTTCGTTCTGGAGATCTGGGGGAACCTGAAGGAGCCAAATGTTGAGGCATAAATAAAACCATTCCCGAAATAGGCAAAATATGGTCATTGACAACTTTACTGTAGCATAAAACAGAGCCTTAAAAGTTGCAAGAGAGCAGAGTGATATGCTGGTTAAAACCAAAGCTATGCCAACCCATGCAGCTGCTTTAATTCTTAGGACCAACTGGATGATTACCAAATAGTCATATTCAATCCAAAATGTCACCCCTCATATGCCTGGAGATACAACTGAACCACTTGGATGCCTTTATTGCTCAGGCTAGATTTTCTTGGTTTTGAATAAGGAAAATATCATGGTTCAGAGAAATAGTGTCAATAATTTATTGCCCAAATGGGGACACTTTCTAGAGTTCACATTTATAATTATGCCAAGACAGCAGGCAGAAATGATGACTGTATTGGGCAGTTCTGGAATATATGATCAGTTTATTAAGAAGGCAGGCCCTTGAGCCAGACTGCTTAGGTTTGAATCTTAGCCATACCAGTCACTAGCTGTGGGAACCTTGACAAGGTACATCAACAAGGATCTTCCTAGATCTCAGTTTCCTCACGTGTAAAATGGGGATAACAATAGTACTCGCCACAAAGTATTGCTATGGTAATTAAATGACTTATTATATGTTGAGAATTTAAAACAGTACTTGGTCAATGGTAAATACTCAAAAAATTGCTGGTTACTACATTTGCATATGTCACTTTGTTATTCGGTGCCTGCCTTTACTCCTTTCTTGCACCAGGTCCATCAATGATGAAAAGTTTCTCACTTTGTAATTTGTTAGGCATCCAGTAGAGTTCTATAGATGAGCATCATATGTTTTTCTAAGCCTAATCCATCCACAGTACATTAGAAGATGGCCTCACAACCCTAAGTCATCTGTGTGGAAATGGTCTATAAGAGATGCTTGAACCCAGCTCTGACTTGTGGTTTCTTATTCCATAGAAGCTGACAGCTCAACCAAAGGAAACTCAAACTATTGAGAGAAAATAAAATTTCAGTCTGATTCTCTCACACGTGAGCTCAGAGAGAAGACTTTTTAAAACTGCAGGGACAAGTCTTCTGAAAATAAGTGGTTGGTGGAAGAATTTGCTTCTTGCCTCTTGCAGAACTCTATGGTTCTTGGGCTCTGAGAATCTGGAAACAATTTTATTAATAAAAACAGGGATGAGAAAGCAAGGAAAGGCGTTCTGTCTCTTACAAGTCTGTTCCTCCTACTTCATCATGAACCTTCATTAATGACATTGCCAACTTCTCATCACACAAGCTCAAGATCTCAGAATTGTACTAAAGTTTCTCTGCATCCTCTCTCCATTCAGAGCCAGGAGGCCTACTAGACGTCATCTCTGTTACTTCTTTTCTCCCTTTTTCATTTCAACTGCAGTGACCCAAGTTCAAGCCCTCATTAGCCCTTTGTAGTGGTCATCTGTTCATCATTAAAAGTCTCCATTTCCCTCCTCTTATAACAATTATACACCATGTTCCCTCTGGAAAACCAACTGCTACCCAACCCTTAGCTTGAGGGTGAAGTGTGTATCCTAGTCTAAGTCTATTGAGCCTTCCATTCCCAGATCATCATAGTTGCCTGAGCAATGGGCATGTGACTCCATTAGAGGCAATGAAAAGCCTGGAGGTTTCCCCTGAGACTTCTAAGAGAGGATGCAGGACCTGTATCCATATGAGGCCTGCTGATTGTGCTGACAATTGAGCAAACAATGCCAAGAAATAGAGATAAAAGGGATGTCTTGATATCATCTGAGTCCTGAGACAAGCTATGTCTGAAGCCATATTTGCTTGTGGATTGTTCAGCTATGTGAGCCTTCAAATTACTTCAGCTAGTTTGAGTTTTTCATTGCAAAGAAAAATACATACTTGATGAACCTTTGATACAACAGCTTGCAAATTTGTGTGCTATTTCCTTAACATGTGCATCACATTTCTTCTCTACGTGGTTGTCAGAATGCCGTGGTCAAGACACTCACTTACTGGAAACTCTTTTTATTCCCGTGGCTGAAGCCATCCACTTGCTTGCTCTCCTCAATCTGTCTTTCCCATCTTCTCCCCTAGCAGTTGTTCCACACAAGCTCTACTTCAGCACCACTGTGCTTCTCTGTCAGGTCTTCTTTTCCCTCCCTTCCTTTCATTCATTGCATAAATGTTGAGTGAATGCTTCCTGAGTGCCAGGTACTGGATGCTGGGAATTCAGTTACAAACCAAACAGGCAAGAATTCTTGTCTTCATGAAGATGATAACAAATGTGGAAAGACGGGCATTAAACAAACATATAAGGAAAACACAGAGAAACACAAGGCAAAGAAGGGCAATGAGAAATGCTTGGGAAGATGCAGTTTTAAATAGGATTGTCAGTCCCAGAGAAGCTGACATTTTAGCAGAAAACTGAAATTGATGAAGGGGTTGGAGAAAATCATTCTAGGTAGAAGGAAGGAAAAGAAAGCCAATGATAATGGTCTTGAGTCAAGAGTGATGAGGAGGCCTGTGAGGCTGGAAGAGAGTAGGAAAGGAGGCAGGTGGTAGGAAGGAGTCATGGGGCTAGGATCAGATGTCATGAAGTCTTATGGGTCATGATAAGGACTTCTGCTCTTACTTGCAGTGGGTGGGGATCCACTGGAGATTTTGAACAGATGACTAACATGAAGCAGCATCACTCTGGCTGCTGAGTTGAGAGTAGAATGCATGGAGCCAGAGATAAAGCAAGGAGAGCAGAGAGGGGCTGCTGATCTATCCAGATAAGATGATGGGTCCTGAACCAGGACGGTGAGGTGATGAGAAATATTTCCACCATGGACATAGTGAGGATAGAGGTGATAGCATTAATTTATTGGATGGAGAGAGAGAGAGAAGGAAAGGGAGAAGAAAAGATGACCTCAATGCTTGGGGCCTAGGCAACTAGAAAGATGGAGTTGCTGTTGACTGGTTTGGAGAAGCTGCAGGAGGAGAAGGTTGGGGGTCAAGTTTTGGAGTGTGGTTTTGATTTGATAATGTTTAGAGGTCTGCGAGACATCCAAATGAAGGAGATATCTTGTAGATAGTTGGCAATAAGGATTCAGAGTTCATAGGAGAAGTCTAGGTTGAACATAGACATTTAAGAGACACATATAGATGGTATTTAAAACCTTGTGACCAGCTGCAGTGGCCTGGGAATGAAAATGGGGAGAAGGGAAATGACAGGATATTTAGGTCAAGGGTGAGATTATTCTCTTACTGTATAAATTAAACAGGAAGACATCATTTTTACTGTATTTTTTTTTCAAAGATCATCATCCAACAGCCATGTGCTATTATAACAGTTTTTTAAAACGTAACACCTACAGGGTGAAAATGAGAAGAAAGAGAACTCATATTTTTTTAATGAACAGCAAAGCAAAAAATAATATAGGACAAAAATATATGTCCCAATCTCTTTTTTAGAAGACACTTCCATAAACAAATTAGGAAAAGTACTTGCATTTTCATCCAGTTAGTTTAATTTAAAATTTGTTAGGCTTAGACATGTAATAAAAAATTTCGCTCCAAGCACTAATCCATTCCCATTTGGATTTAATTAAAGAATAAACAATTAGAGTGCAGGCCCTTCAGAGTGGTACAACCATGACAATATTAATTCTTTGAGAGTATGTAGTATGTCTAAGATAAATTATCAACTTGGATGCATTATTAGAATAGGTTTCAGAAGTATCATTACTTAAAAAATAACTCTCCATAAATTTTTGTTAAGCTAGTCTGCAATTCAGAGGTTTTCCTCATTCAACTAGGTGACCAATCATAATTATTGAGGCCTATTTTATGTAGCATACGTGACTCTTACTTGGTAACAAATGCAAATAGGAAGGGTCACAGTTATAAATCTATCTATAGTTTCCTTTTAAAAGGCCCATGGTACCATTTTGGCTTGGAGACACTATTTACAAATACATAAAAAAGATATAGTTTAAAAATTTAGATCCATGTATTACAGGAAGGCAAATAGTATTTTCCTATGTATTATGCAAAACTACAGTGTATATAATTCATTAGTTAATTTATGTATAATCCATTTTGTTACATAATGATTTAAGGCAGCTTCAAAATTTATGTGATTAAACCACATTTTAAAAAATAAAGGAATGATTCAGAAAATTGGGGTCAGTGGGAAAATGAGGTAAGAAATTTGAAATGATGCCTGAAACTGATTTTTTTAATGTTCATACAACAGCACCCAGTACTGTTTTCCTATAATTCCTCTAATCTTTGACTATAACTGCACATTTCATTTCCTAACATTTAATAAAAATGTCAAACTACTGGCTCAGTTAAATTGGATGAACATTTGTTTCTCTATTAATTTAGGTACTTACTGGAGAAACAAAAGTCAAGTGAATAAACTAATAGGAAACAGAAGCTTGAAATAAGTAAGAAAGTAATATCTAGGTAGACCACTGACTTAAGCATAACTTTTTAGGAATTAGGATGCTGTAAAAAAATCTGACTGAGGCAATAGCCCCTGAAATCCAGTTTTGGCTCTGCTGTTTATAATTATTACTTAGACACGTCAATCACCTTCTTTAGGATTCTGTTCCCACATCTGAAAACATATGCATATTCATTTTCCTTAATAGGGGTGTTATGGGAATCAAAAGCGCCAAAAAAAAAAAAAATTGAAAATAGATTACCAATTGCAAAGAGATATAGTAATAAAATATTTTATTAGAAATAGATGAAATAAGTTAAACACTTGAAAAAATAAAAGCAGATAACATGGAGATGGACAATATTTGTTCTGCAATTATTATTAGTTTTTATTAACAGTCATCCATTTGCTTTCAGAGAAGAAGCACTCTCTTCTCTTTTACTTAACATTTCTTTTGGGTAACTCAGTTATAGGATTTTCTCTTGCTATGTCTCTGCTTCCAATCCCCCTCTGAATTTCTAGAGTTACAGCCTATGGCCTCTTGGCCCTTCAACTGCAATGGTCTTGAAGCCAGACTCTG